CTGGCTGGTTTAAGCCTTCTAACTTGAATTAGCCTTATGTGCGGTATTGTTATGCAAATGAGCCAGATAAGCACAATCTGCACATGCTCATGGCTTTAAAGCCAGATGTGCGCACTTGAAATCCAATTTAAGTCCTTATATCGAGAAGACTTGGTTCTACCAACTGAACCCTTGGCAAGGAGCAGCTGGAACCGGCGCTGATGTTAAGGCTATACTGCAGTTAGCGGCCCCCGTGCCTTACCGTTCGGCTACTCGACTCGCATGCTGTCATCAGTTTGCTTGTTCTACGCTAAGGCGTTTTCCAGGCAGTGTGAGCTCAGCTTTCCTCATTTTTCTTAGTGATTTAATGTGTGTGTATTTGTGAGTAAACATGTTTAATTACTGTCTTTAAGGTAAGTCATCCAAGTGCATTGGGATTGGAAGTTGGTCAAGAGATTCATGTAAAGTACTTTGGTCGTGATCCAGTCAGCGGCAGGATGCGTCTGTCCCGTAAAGTCCTCATGGCACCAGCATCCTCCGTCATAAAGAGTCTAGGAAAGAACCAATCATCAACAACTAACGAATCTGGAGCATGAAAATGTAGTTGAAAGTTTCAAGTGTTTAATCAATAAACTGATACAGAGTACTGTAGCCATGCAGCACAAGAAAATCTAATGGGCCTTAGTACCTGAGGATTCTATTTCTGCTTTGAAGGAAAGCCTCAGTGGTTATGCAGTGGCGGCTCTAGGATATATTTTCTGGGGGGGCTAAGTTGTCCAACAGGGGGACTTGAGCTCATAGGCTCGATCTGGAGGAAGGGGTTGAGAGGGGGTTCCTCCTCCCAAATGAGATTTTTTTGAAGAATATAAACCTCTGGATGGCAGAAAATGGCACTCTCAGACAGTGACAAACGTGTTGGCCTATTTTTATATGTTTTATGGTCTGACTGCCCGACGAGCTCAGTCCGGCGGGGGGGGGGGGCTTGACCTGTCCGGTGTGAGGGCTTAAGACCTCCCCAGGTCCTTGTAGAAACCCATCATTTTTTGTAGCCAGAGGCGGTACCAGCGGGGCGTTGGGGGCCACCATCTTTTTCATCTAACTCATTATTAGATATATTATATAATATTTATATATTGTCCTTGTCCACTATTCTAATTATTATTGTGTATTGCATACAACTGAGAACAATACTGTACTCTCCAGAAAAGAATGTTGAATGAAAAAAAACCCAAATAGACAGAATTATGTGGACAAAATGAAAAGCAGGCCACTGTGTTATTCACTAACAGTTGAAAGATCAGCAGGTGCAGTCATATACACAGGACAACATCCTGGCCATATGAAGTAGAAGCCCATGAAAAATATTTTTGAAGCAGCTACGTATGTCATATAGGCCTATTTATTGACATACAGATACAGATTATTTTTTATTACTAACTGTTACTATTAGAGCAGTTGAGTCCGCTAGACTTGTTTATACACGTCAAACACTTGAAATGCCATAACATAAAGATTAACATTATTTGAGGTTGGGAAGGATGAAATTTTTTTTTTACCAAATGTTATATAAATATATACTGTATAATAAAACAAGAATATTAAAAACAGGAGTTTAGACTGTTTATTTATTATTTATTTGTATGATACTTCGGAGTACACATTAACAGCTAAGCGTTACAGATAACTACAATATCTAATCTAAATTTATCTACAACAAATATGTTTATGTAGTGTCACTGGTACACGGTCACATTTAATAACAGGAGGCAGAAGCATACTATTGTGTACTACAAACCAATACCGATACCACAATGGTACAACATATTGGTATGATACTATATTACCGCTACCAGACACCAATGGCCGAATATTCAATAGTCTTATTGCTCCATATTTGTGGTAGTGTAGGAAATGGGTGCCTATTATCTTTTTTTAGCTAGTATCCCCTTACTTAATTGTAAAGGATCTCTTCCCCCCCCCCCACACCACATTTCTCTTGTTCACCCCCCAAATTTCACTTGTTCACCCTATCATCAGCCATTTCAAAACTGTCGTCACTGCAGTTAGTGCCCCTCTCTTCTTGATACCATGGCCCCACCCACATATCAATACTCCTAAATACACCACTGAATATATCTTTAAACGTTTTCCTTCCCAACCTTTCAGCTTTATACTTGTGCTAGTACATTTATATTACAATACATAAGGTTTTAGATGTAGAGGCATCATCTGTTACATCCTTTAAGACATGTTTACTTTGTAGTTGGCAGTAACAGGTATTAAACGTATGGGCCTGTAAGACTGAATATCGGGGTATGTAATTCCGTAACTTATGTACAAAAGCCATAACAGGTTTGGGGGGGAGGTTGGGGAGGGAATTTTAAATAGAAGCCTCCTGTATTAAGCACAATACAAATCTTGCATATTTGTATTATTATATTACATGGACAAAACAACATGTTACTATAATAATACTGCTGGTAGCACAGTACCATAATAACATGTAAAATATGTAAAATTTAGTTTTTATACTAATAAATGTGATAAATCATGATTATGGAACACAGAAGAGTTGTTTAAAATTTCTTCGTAATAAAGTTTTTATATATATAAAAGTTTACTTTCCCTTACAATAAATATGTGAGACATTAAGCCTAATAACAATTAAGACATCCACAAAGCAAAACAATTATGATGTAAATTGCTCTGTTTGTTTTAGAAACAAATGTTTTCCTTAGCTTAGTTTGAACAGCACCATTATATAACTTTATGAACAAACTACTTATAGATATTAATATATAAGCTGCCAGCAAACATTTTACTTAGGAATAAGCACCATACATGCATCATCATAAAGCAATATCAATTTGAATTTGTCATTCTCAAATCTGGGTGAATATTTTCACGGTTGAGTGAGCCTAGTCGTGCATGAGTGAACACTTGAAGTGCATGAGTTATCAGTGGTATTATAACATGCATTACTTCACGATGATTCAACACCAGGGACCGAACCTTCTTTTTCTTGTTGGAGACAGAGACTACAGCTCCAGTTCCCTTTAAAAATAAGAACATTTATATTTGGTTAGTTTATTTTGAAAGAAATATCATAAACGAGGCTTGCCAAAGAGTAATTAGCATTAGTACAGAGAAGCTGTAATACTTCCGTAATAACTTTGGCAATAATAAGTCAATTTCAGTAAATGACATCATTTTAAAGCATATAATATGGAAAATATGTACATATTAAAATGTCAATTTTCCTGTTTTGGTAGTTGATGCTGGTTTTTGGCATGGCAAACCCCAAATAATCATGAATTTGTTTAGCATTAAATGACAATGTATTTGAAACAATAGAGATTACCTAGGGACAAATGATTCCCTTTGCCCCTTAAAATAATTGTGTTATATGTACCTTCAGGAGGAGCGGACATCGGTGGCGAGAGACAATACATGTGGTAACCACGGTCACAATCATCACAAAACAGCAGTTGATCCTATGAGACAAACAACAATTATTCAGATTTTGAAATCATAAAAAAAGCAAGATATGTTGTTTGATATACTAACACCTTCCCTCAAAATCTTAAGGTTTTAGTTCAATCCAATGAGTACTATGTCAAATCATTCCATCATTATAATGATACATGAAAACAAAATTGTGAAGTATAGTATACATACGCGCACAGTATTTTGTACGTTAAAGAGACCGCAATAGTGGCCTTAACATTTGATTAATTCAGTGGTGTATAAGAAGTCATTTTATCAGCAGTGTTGGCAAGGCATTTCTAAAATTGTCTCAGCTTTGCAATACCAGTGAACAACAGCATATCTTGCCAGGACGACACATCATTCTGCTGAACAGTGTCAACATCACTAGTGCATCCTAAACACATCACTAGCACACTCTAAACACATCATTAGCATACCCTAAACACATTACTAGCACACCCTAAACACATCAAGAGCAAACCTAAACACATCACTAGTAGCACATACTAAACCCTTCACTAGCACATCCTAGAAACATCACTAGTGCATTTTAGACATATCACTAGAGCATCCTAAACACGTCACTAGCACATCATAAACACATCACCAGCGCATCGTAGACACATCACTAGTGCATCCTAAACACATCACTAGTACATCAAAAAAACATCACTAGCTCATCCTAAACACATCACCAGTACATCCTAAACGCTGAGATGTGTCGGATACAAACAAAATATTTCTTATTTATCATTTCTGACTTACATCATTGTCTGAAGTTCCACACAATGTGCAGGATTTACACTCAATGCACTGCCAACGGTAATTCTTCACATTTGATGTCATTCTGTCAGTAAATTGTAAGCAAGATGGATGGCCTGCAATAAAGATAGAGATTGCAAAATAAAAACTAATATAAATCTTATTTCTATCAGCAGTATCAAAGAATGTCAAAAAATAATCTAGTGAAATTAAACTAGTAGTCCCAAGTTAACAGAAGCCACTTAAAAAAAAAACCTGGTTTAATGAGCTTACATAACAGTTTAAGTCCTTATTACCCTTTGTTCACAACATGTTTTGAAGCATGCCTCCAATTCCAATTGCAAACAATAAAACACAACACCGAAATTTCAAATTTACTTTTAGATTTAGATTATAACATATTTTCCTGTGTTGCAATTTGTGTATTTGTGCAGTTATAGCTACCAGCATAATATGTACAACACAAAAGAATAATGTATTTGCAAGTATACTCATCACTGGCCTATCTGCGTCACCCTATATACTTTTTATGTAGGTACATCCTGCAACCACAGGAAACTAGGGGCTGCATGGACCAGCACACCAATGTATCCTGTATACATGCAGTGTTGTAGCTCTAGGCAACCTGGGGTGGGTAGTATCAATTTTAATGGTGGATGATAACATCGGTACACTAAACAATGAAGGGTAGATTTTAAGGATGGAAAAAGTGTTTTAATAAGGGTGGGTGGAGGGCCATAAAATTAGCTTTAGTCTGGGTGGAAAACTTCCACGGTTGGGTGGCCCACCATAACTACATCCCTGTACATGCCCCAAAAGATGAACTGGGTTCTTTGAAGTTCACATGAGCAAATTATGTACACTGGGCCTATGGTTTATAGCCCTTATCTGAGAAGACAATCCACCACCAGAGCCATAGTCAAGATGATGTTTGAATCAGTGCAGATATTATGGCTGTACTGCTCAGCCACTTAATGCGCTCATTCATAGCCCCAGAACATGTAACTGTCTGACTCACCGGATCGTCCACAGTCTGAGCACGATACCAAGATCTCAGCTTCCCCTGTCTTTACATTCTTCTTAGCATCACCAAGGCAGAAATCACAATAGCTACTAGCCTCAGCTATTCCGTTGACTTTCTTGGCAGCTGACAAAAAAATTTAATAGTATAAATTAGTAACCAAGAATTGGAGCAAACTAGTATTCATATTATAAATTATGTCATTTAGAAATGACACCCGTATTGAGTTTAGTATACCTGGAAAACCTAAAAAGAAAATGATTTTTTGGAAGGACCATTTTAAATCAATATCAATTTGTTTATGATGGTATCTTTATGAGGATAAATATTTATGTAGACAAATATTTATGGTGGTAAATAATTGTGGTATACTTTAAATATATATTTATGTAGTCGTATATTTAAGATATATATTCATGATGAAAATATTATGATATACAGTATATTTATGACGATATATTTTTGATATAGATAAACTATTAATTACTATAATTTACTAACTACTATATACGTGATAAATGCGCAGTTAATAAAAAAGATGAAATGAAGGAAAGAACAAAGTCTGAATGAACAAATAAATTAATGAAAGTGTTGAAAGGTGCAGATGATGCAAGCAACTACAATTGATAAAGAAACAAAAGTTGATTGATATCATTAATATCAAATCCAGTAATGAGTGTCATTCAGTGCTATAAACCTTAATAATCTACTCCAATTTACTAATAACAATTTATAAAACAAGAAAGATAAATAGGAAAACAAAAAAAATATAAGCTCATTATCCAAAATGAAAGTCAGCATAAAAAACCATAACAGCAAAAAAAAAATTTTTTTTTCAGTCAACAGAGGGTGCACTAAGCAAACCGAAAATTTCAAACATTTCTGAGGCGGTAAAAATCACTGCAGAGAAAAACAAATTATTGAATGTTAGAACACCAGGTGTGAGTTCAGCATGCCGTTATTAATGTATGCTTTTATTTTTCCTCAACCAACTCACGATGGTTCATTGACGGCATTGGCAAGGGAGAACTCGGTACCACTTCTGCTTCCTCCTCCTCCTCATCGTCCTGATGGGTGTGGGTGACGTGGTAGTTGAGACCTGCTCGGTTACGGTATCGTTTCCCGCATACTACAAGAATAATCCACAAACCACATAGAAAGAACACAACAGCAAACAAAGACCAAGGCTTCTATTGTATATTAACTTTATTATTGTTGTTGTTATTGACACTAACAAATAAATTAGTATAACTACAGTATAACTATTAGATTATTAATATTAGTATTATAATTTAATTATAATTATTATTTATTATTATTATTAATTATTATTACTTAAGAGGTTGTCATGTAATTTTTTTCCATTTTAAATGATTTAGGGAAAATAAAGGAACACTTATTACAAAGCACAGAGAACTTGGTCTAGTCCAAAGTAAATTAGGATAAGAACTACATTTTTACCTAAAATATAGCTATATATTGACTAATATATTTACACAATTATATAATCTTACAGTATTAAAAGAATATTATGAACATAGTAATCTTTAATATAGTTTAATATTTTCATGTAAATTATAAACTACTAATAGATATTCTTTACTGTATATAGTATTTTTTTCTGACACTAGCATTGGGAATAAATTAACAGATATAAATATTGTACTACCAAAACTGATTCAATAATTAAATAATAATAATAATTACAATCAAATAATTATTTATTCCTTATAGTTCATATAAACTGACAATATCAGCCTTGGTAAGTGAGAATAAAGAACAGCAAAATACAATTGATAAACCAAACAAGAACCCTGTCAAAAATATTTTTAAAAACACCTTCCTCAACTGTACATTACTTGGGAGGCTAATAAATACCATTAACCAATACTTAAAATTAGATTTCATCAAATGTACTTCCATTGACCAAAAATAACAATAATAGAACTGTAGTCCTGCTGGTCATTTCTTATCATTATCCTATTTTTTTTTTTATTTGTGTTCTAATTACTGTTTTCATTTATAAGTGAATTGAAACACATGATGTAAAATGTAGATGAAAAAGGTGATCTTGATCAGATGTATTTACCAGATTTAAATTAAACTTAAAAAAAACCAAAAAACAGAGCTGCTGAGAGATTGTATGGCCTGCCTTGTATTTTTGGGTTTTTGTGGTGGAGGGGTAGAGGCAAATTTTTTTCTTTCGCCCATCTACTTCCCAGCCAATGTGTAGGGCTTAAATGCCTTTGGCTACATTTTTTCGTCTTTGTGTAATTGTTCAAATTTGTCCGACATGGCCCCTATAGGGGACTAGTGGGGGTCCTTCAGAAAACCCCTCTCTCAACAGTCCTGAGTATGATAATGTATATGATTCTACTTGGAAAAAGGGGGAAAAATGGTATTCTATTAATGAATTAAAAACAAACACACACGCATCAAGTTAACACAGCAGTTGGATTATGACAGCAAGAACTTGTAAGAAAAAAAAATCTCAAAACAAAAGATTATATACAGGTCTGTAACCAAAATATTCTTGAGGGGAGAGGGTTTCCCTATGAAAGTCAGAGGCTCAGGTATGCCTAAGCGCCCAGATAAAGTCCAGGTGGAGAGCTCTGGTGTGAGGATCAGGTGGAGAAGTTCCCAGGAGCTGAAGTTGCCTAACAAGAAAATGGTGAATTTCATCATCATTTTGAGATTTGTTGTTGGTGGTGGTTGGGCTTGTCAGAGTGGGATTCACTCAAAAAGGGGGAGGGGGGGTCAGTTAACTATAGAAACCCCTCCAATTACAGGCCTGAATATAAGAGATAAACAGTATGTATATGTAGCACATATGATACCTACAACGTAGACCAGTAGAGATTCTAATACCACTACACACCGAGACTCAGAAAAATGACATATCTGCGATGTACGATTTCTGTAATCTTACAAAGTTGTAATGTTAACTTACTTTTACAACCAAATGGTTTTTCTTTTTCATCTGGGGGTATCATCTGCTGGTCGGGGTCCTGAGCCTTGCGTTTTCTTGAAGTTTGCTAACAGTATTAGAAAAAAAATGATTTATTAAAATGAAATGAAAGCCAGGGAAAAACTGACTCATTCAAACCCAGGTACCCTTTTTATTTTTCAGGTGCGGATCCAGAGATGTTCGAAAGGGGAGCTGAAGGAGGCCAAAAGTGGGGCCGATCAAGACAACGGCACACTAGGGGGTCCTTGCACTCCCCCACAAATTTTTTGTTTTATAAATGCTTTGAAATAACCTCTCAGGCGCCTTGGGTGATCAATTTTTTTTTTTCTGCCTTTCTTTTTTTTTCATTTTTTTTTTTTTAACTTTCCAAAAGGTGGCGGGGGGAGGGGGGGCAATTGCTCTTATGGCCATTGTACCATTTTTAGCACTCAATAACTTATAATTAATACTTATTGCTCTCCAGTGAGCATCACAATAATGCCATCAAAACCCATAAAAAACTGCTAGGGTGCATATTGAAACATTTTAAAGGTATCTTACCTTCGGCTTGGCTTTTGTTTTTCTCTTTGAGGGAAGTACAAAATCTTCATCACTTTCAGTCTCGACATTATCGATCTCACCTGCATCGGGGAAATCGTCTGGTGGTCCAAGGTCGTTGAGGAATGCAACCTCTTGCCTTGTATCTATTGGGAGATTAGCGTCATCCATACTGCCTCCTTCAGACAATCCTTTAATTAGCAGCTGTGTGGAAGCTATTTATAAATCATATAGATGTAACTCAATTTTATAATAAGTTAAATTTGATAAATATCTGGGATTTAGATAAGGGATTATATAGTCCAATATTACAGTGGAGGTGCTAGCTGAGGTCAAGTGGGGTAAAGAACCAGCTGGGCAACCCTGGACCATTTCATCAGGAAACATTGCAGGGCTGAGGTGGACGTGGACCCCTGTCGGGAATTTTGGACGTTTACTCCAAACATTAAACCTATTAATTGGCACTTTTGATTCCTTGTCTGGAAATCTGTGGCACCACCAATGGCACACTATGAAATTGCAGTTTTATGATAGGCATTACATTTGTATCTGATTGGGCCTTTTTATGTACTTTGTAAATTTAGTAGATGGAGCTCACAACAATCCATGAGGCAATGAGCTATAGACATAATCACAGAAACATGCCTATCGCTACAGTATATTCAAATTTAACACTAACAAAACATAAATAATTGATCTTAATAGAGAAATTAAAATCAATTAAAATAATTTTAGATTTTATATATTCGTTTTGGTCTATGGGTTTTATCGTAATATTCAAAATCTTTTTCAGGAGGGTAAAACCCAATAAACCACAAAACCCTTTTTTCCATTTCCCCATCCAATAAGACACATAAAAAACATGAATAACTAGGCCTAAATTATTCATTGCAAATCCTAAATGGAACAGTGTATTTAGAAAATAAGAACAACTGGAAATTCCTCAAATTTTCCAAAGATACTAATGGAAATTTGTGTTAATTACCATTTACGGAAATAGAGACAAAATGCTATGGAAATTACTATACATTGTTCAATGCCCAAGAAAATGAGTTTTCCATCGGGACTTAACATAATTTGTCAGATTATTGATAAATTATTGTGAACCTCATAAAGCCAAGATATATTAAGCCATAAATCTTCATCCTGTCAGCCTTTTTTTTTTTTTGACATTCCACATCTGTTACTGTTTCATTGTTTTTATAGTGTACCTGTAATTTTTATTAGTACATATTTTGCACTCATAGGTGCTACCGGAAATTTCTCTTTTTACTACTGAAAGCTGAGAACTCCGACACTATATTATTTCTAGAATTTTAAATTGCTATTCAAATCCAAAAACGGGTTAAATGTGCAAATTAGTTAAGCTTCCCAAATTACTCCAGCTTCCCAAACGGAACAAGGAAGCCTGAGTATGTATGTTGTACATTAGGCCTAGATACTAAGCTAGTTTGTAATACGTAGTCCTCTCCCATTAATTAAGACTACAAAACCTAGTGTTTTACAACTGCCTTGCCTTCATGCAACCTTAGTTCTCCCATGAAAACACTTTCTCTCTTTAGTTTTTTGTTTAATAATACAATTTCTTACTTTTTTTCAAAGTATTTTGATCAAAATTTAGCTAAATTCTGGATTTTTAATTTGTTGTTATCTGCCTTCAGGTTCACCAAGCTTCCATCTTGAGATCATAATAATAAATTAATGAAATCTGATCTATAGAGGGCGCTATAACTTTCAATACATACTTTTTGTGTATTGTTGCAAAACTGTTTATTTCTATGCCAAAATATGGTCAATTTTAATCACATAAAATCAATTTTTCCACAATAAATAAGGCTACAAGTTTAAATTAACTACTTCCAAGCTTGTTTTGTAATTTTAAGTTAAATACATTTGATCTCATGACACAAAATTTGAGTTACCAAAGTACCAATGACTACGGTAATTCTTTTTTGCAAAAATATATTTTCCCTATTGAGTAGCATGAAATACTAGTATTATGCTGTATGAAAAAGTCAGCTTTAACTAATTAATTATTTTAAAACCTTAACTATAAATTTTAGCTGAGTGGTTACCACTTTGCCAGCAGAAATGCACTGGAAGAGTAGTGGCTATCCTTGAATTTAAGAAAATTAGGGTTACATACCAAATCTTAAACAGACAGACCCTAAATGCGTGAGTGAGACTCATGCATGTAGGGTATGTCTCATGCTTAAGGACCAAAATTTCACGCATAAATGTAATGCAATAAAATATAAGTACTATTTGTGACCTTTATATCACTATTCAAAAATTTCAAGCCTGCAAATTTGTCCAAATTGGAATCACTGGGTTATGCCTATACAAAGAAAAACGGGAAACAAATCTGACTGACTGATCCTACAGTATTTTCAAATTTTCACTGTCGACAGCCAAACCAGCAATTAATATTCGTTGGCCTTTTTTACTTTCTAAAAATAAATTCTTAAAGTACACTTCAATACAATTAATATACTGCATATAGAAAACATAATTACTGTAGGCCAGTCTGGCCACTTCTAAAGCTAAATAGATTGAAAAGACTAGAATTTTTCTTGGGGTGTGCACAATACATTATCAGTTTGTTTGACTTTCTACAAACCATGCACTAATTAAAAATTAGTGCACAGTCTAAGATAGGAATGTAATGTTGGAGTTACAATGGTGATATCACAATTGACTGAGGCTACGTTCAGACTTTGAGATAAGCCAGGCTTGAGTTAAGCCCGGATCGACGTTAAGTCCGGCTTAACTTTGCCGGGCGTTCAGACTAGCGGGTTTAGCCAGGCGAGAATTTGCATAATAATGAACCGTAACCAGGAAATTAGTTTGGAAACATTGGGCTCGAAACGTACATTGGCTCACAACGTACATAATTGAATGCTGACTGGTCATTTTTTTTACCGGAAGTCAATGCAAGACCCCCCCCCCCAGACCCCCCGCAACGATTAAAGAACGGCTTAGAAAAGTTAAACACAGTGGCACGCCGGGCCTAGTTACTATAGGAACACAGCCCTGGCTTGAGATAAGCCAC